ACTTAGAGAACCTAGTGATGCTGGAGAAGTTTCTCTGTTCACAATGAATATAAATTGGATTAAAATAAATAAAGGCATAATGTCTCATTATAAAGAAATCCACTTTCCTGAACCTGTTGACTGTGTACAGATCTGACCCTCGGAAGACTTGTTTTGCAAAGGTTTTCACCTTTCTGGATCAGCTCAAAGTAGGCAGCAGAGGAAATGAAGCTGAGAAACTAAAATAACTCCAGACAGTTGCAAAGTTTAGCTTGGGAAGAGAAACGAATAAAATAAAGGAAGGGAATTTGGAAGTGAGGTGCTAGGAGCACAGTCTCCTGGAGTTATGAGAAATGTGAGGAATGGCACTAAAAAAAAAAAATAACAGAAGGGTGACCGCTTAATGTGAAGAGTGAAAAATATTCCAGATCAGTCTACAAAAATAAATTGGGCTGGGCACAGTGGCACACGCCTGTAATCCCAGTGGCTCAGGAGGCTGAGGCAGGAGGATCGCCAGTTCAAAGCTGGCCTCAGCAATGGCAAGGTACTAAGCAACTCAGTGAGACCCTGTCTCTAAATCAAATACAAAATAGGGCTGGGGATGTGGCTCAGTGATCAAGTGCCCTGGAGTTCAATCCCTAGTTCCATCCCCTTCCCCATCAAAATAAATCGGCTGTGTTAAAGACCCAAAGAAAAACTAACCAGAGGCTCTTCTGATGTAGTAGTGAACAAAAGACCAGCAAGAATGGAGAGCTATAAAGAGACCTGGTGAAAGCCGGCTGTGAAGGATCAGAGTAGAAGAACAGTTAGGATATGATTGAAAGTGGCAGGCTGCAGCCACTTCTAATTTTAGTTTGCTTTCATGTTCTTTCTTTCCTCTATAATTTAGAATTGTTTGTTTCTTTTTCAAACTGGGGGGTTAATTGTCATCTGTTTTGTCAAGTAAATACATATCTACTTGATTTTTTTATTGTTAAGCATGTACATGGTAGCTATCTAAAATGTCCCTTGCCCCAATTCTAAAAGCCAAGACCATTAGTGCCACTCCAATCTACTATCCCTGGTATGCTGGGGAGCAGGACCAGCTACCAACCAGTGATTTGGAATCCTGGAAGGGTAAGTTCACATGCACCTCACAGAGCCTTTTAGGCTGGCCCCAAACCTCCAAAAATAACAAGAACATGTCATACAGATATAAATAAATGTGAAAAATGGCATTTAATCTCCAGACTAGAAATGTCTCCTTGACCACTCTTTTCACTTTAGAGGATATTTTAATATCTGTACTGTGTTACACACTGAGAATATTCTAGTCACATGACTTAGTAGTGAACTTATGTTCAGCCCCATGAAGTGTTTTTACATATCCTGGGATGAACAGAGGGAGATGATGTCTCATCTCAATGAGTGAAGTCATTCTTTTCTATTTATTTGATAGTGGAATTAGACAATTTAAATGAATCTTCAGGTTTGGAACTAGTGTAAATTTTTAAGATCAAAAGCATGTGCCCTAAATTGACTCTCATGAGTATGCCCACACATGTGTCAGTGTGTGTGTGTGTGTGTGTGTGTGTGTGTGTGTCTCTGGGTGTATGTGTGTAACACAGAGGGTTAAATTATGAATAAATGTCTTTAAGAATTATTTCACTAGAGGGCTCACTCTCCTTATAGAAACTGCTCTTAGATTCTATGTGAAAAGCCCCCATAATGGGAAAACTTAATAACCCTTCAAAAAACAAGTTTGTCCTTTTTCTGTAGAGTATAGGACATATAAAGGGCCAAACTATTCCTGTAAACCCTGCAAACACACTGATCACCAATGATCACCAGATTGCAGTGGAAAAAGTGTGTATGAAATGCCTTGACTGTGTATTCCTCCAAACCTCCAATTTTTTTTAAGTTTCCCTTTAGGGAAAAGAGACATAGAAGTGGCTCAAGGGACAGATAGCTAACGCCACAAATTCCACTCATACTTGTCTTTAAGATGTGCTCCAAAATGCCAACTGTGGTTTATTCACAGAGTTACAGAAGATGGGGATCCCTACGTGCGGCCTGAGGACGAGAACTACGAGAACGACTCTGTCCGGCAGTTGGAGAATGAGCTGAAGATGGAGGAATACCTGAAACAGAAGCTGCAGGACGAAGCCTACCAGGTACGGGGACCCCTGGCCCCACTCACCCCCACCTCCTCAGCCCACGGTAAGGGATCTTTCCCAATCCTCACAAAATTGGTGCTTCCTCCTTCCTTCTGCCCTCTTGTTCCAGAATATTCTCACATTACTTCTTAGTCCATGTATTCCAGACAGTAAAAATTTTAAAAGCTTCTCATAGCTAGCCATTACTCACTGTGCATTCTCGTGAATTCGGGTCTGGAAAGTGAAAAGAAGCCTTGTGACATTAGCAGAAACACGGTGACTTAACAATCTAAACTCCTCCAGGATCATTAAGGTGCTTTTTCTTCCCCCCCCCCCCCCATAAATTAAAAGAAGAGGAAGAATACAAAGAACAGTGCACGCATAAATATACCTCCTCCCTTGAATTGTTTGTCCTCAGCCTCCCTGACTGCCCACTTCATGGCAAATGTAAGCGGGAAGGTGACCAAACTTAGTGAGGAACGTTGGGGGAACTGCAGGCCCAAGTTCAGTGAGGTGTGAATAGACACATCTTCAGATAGAAAGTATATTAGCCCATCTGAGAATTCATAGAACATAGCACAGGCAATTGGGAATAACTGTAATTAGTCACTCCTGCTAAAAGAGGTGCATTTTACCCAAGGGACGTTGTCCTGTCTTGTTTGTCTTTCTGTGAGCATCCTTTTTCTTTACCTGCAGGTGTGTTGTTGAATTCTGGGAGCTCAGGGATGCTTGTCTGGTGGAGACCTGCTGGTCCCCAACCCCAGTGGGTTACTGTTTTCCTGTCAGATTTCTTTCCAATGGCCACACAACCTTTCTCCATATTCTTAGATCAGCAGTGGCCCTTTTGTACTCCATTAGTGAAGGACAGAGAAATAGAGGGAATAAATTGTCTCTCACTTCTCGTATATTTATAGATTAAGCCTTGAAATATTTTCCCAAGAAGAGTGTAGCAAAAGAGAAATTGGAGGCCTGCCAACTTCACCCCAACAATATAAAAAAAAAGGTTTGCCTCTTTGGAAGTTTCCATTCAACTTTTTAGTTAAGCAAGCACATTTTAGAAGCAACCAAAAATGTTGATCTTTCATGAAAAAATCAAAGTCAAACAAAGAAAAAAAGAAAAGAAAAACAGAGATAGCATCTGTGGAACCATGCTTCTATGCTACAGAAACAGTACTCTTCTGAAAACCATGGAGGGCGCTCTTTCTTTGCAACTTGTATGGTTTTCCACAGAAGGAAATTATCCCAGAATGAAGCTGGCCGGGCGTCTCTGGGAACTCTGAGGGATGGCATCCCTACCCGTGCCTCCTGTGACTCTGCACATAGAGGGAAAGAGATGTGGCTACATAATCAACATTCTAGTTCATGCTGTTAGGGGGTCCTTATTAGGCCTCCCTCTTTAAATTCCTATCAGTTTCTGGATTTCGGTGACAACAGTAACTGAAATTCTAGAAGTTATTAAAAAAAAAGAGGCAGCCTTTCACCATTCTATATCAAATAGTAAATTTTTATTCATTTTAATGAATTAGGAATTTAATCTTAGATGAGTAAAATGAAGGGAAATTATATTAATGACGTACAATCCCATTGGAGTTCTTACCACCTCTGTGTCTGGTGAGTCTTAAGCTCTCTCTCCTTGCCTTTCCATGCCCGATGACTTCAAGGGGAAGGGCAGAGAAGGGGCTGGGAGAACATAACAAGCCCATGTGTCCCACTCAAGATGAACGCCCTGGAGAACGCTGGAGTGGTTTTCCTGGAGGGCTCTGTGAGCAGCCGGTTATTGAATGGATTGGAACACTACTTTCTTTCATTGCACTCTCTTTCTGTCTTTGTGCATGGCTTCCAGCCAAATAATTCACCAGCTTGACTGCGTCACCAACTTGACATGTCACCTTTCTTGTTTGTGTCCTTTGTCACCCACAGGTCAGCTTGCAAGGTTGAATGCAATATCCTTTTATCACTCTCCTCTCAAGTAAGTACCTTCTTGTTTGGGAGGAAACATGGCCACTCCACTGAATTCTGAGAGCTTGTAACCTGAATTCACAATCACTCTCTCCAAAGTGTTTCTTTCTGTGTAATAAAATAATATCCTCCTTCCCTGCTAATGTCGGCAGATTCTCTCAAGTCTATGGAGCATTTCATTATAATCCAGTGGAAATCTCCCAGACATCCTTGGGAGTTGACTTTTTCCTCTGTGAATTAGGGAAGTCTACCAGAAACTTCCTTAACACCAGAGATACCCCGGAAGTCCTCTGCAGCCAGGATGCTTAGCTAGCCACTTCACCAATCCATCATGACATCAGAATTGCCCCCTCTGTAGCACCTAGGAAGGAACCAACCTTGTTCAGCATTTATAGATGAATCAGCTCCTTAATCACGCTACATTCAGGGCCCAAACGACCAAATGTGTGTACCTTAACAAAAAAGAAAAAATCAAATATTTTAAAAATGAAAAAAATCAAGTTGACACAGTGGCACTCACCTGTAATCCCAGCAGCATGGGAGGCTGATGCCAGAGGATCACAATTTCAAGGCTAGTCTCAGCAACTTAGGGAGATCCTGTCTCAAAATAAAATATAAAAAGGACTGGGGATGTTGCTCAGTGGTTAAGCACCTCTGAGTTCAAGCCCCGGTACCACAAAAAAAAAAAAAAAGAATCAAAATGGAGAAGGGATTCTATAGTCTTATATTTTGGGGATAACTGATTCAAATCCATGATGTAATTGAGTAGGATATAAATTAATTTAAAATATCATTTATTCCATATGAGATCCCATCCCAAGGATCTGCCTGAATACATGTAAAATCTCTCATAATGTAAAGAGCACTTGACTGGCAAGATCACTTGAGGGTGATTTATGAATCTTAGGCTATTRAAGCCATCAGACCCAATTTCAAATATTGATTTATGGGGTTTTGACCCCTCCCTGAGGATAAAGTGCCCCCCCAGGACCTTTGACACCTGGGGGTCTGAGGGGTCCTGGCAAAAATATATACATATATATTGGTTTTACCAAATTGTAGCAGAATAAATCTGGACAAATTATTAAAGCTATTTTAGCCTTCAGTTTCCTCTGCACAAACATGTCAGGAGCCTACCTCATAAAAGAATTGTACTTCCTGAGATGTGTTTTTAAAGAGCTTGACACAGTAGCAGACACCATACAATTTATTAAGAACATGCACATACATGCTTGCCGTGATGCTCCATGCTTTATGTATAGTGGTTATGCGAGCACTTGGGAACCGCTGGGACCACAGGGACTAGAGTGAGCTGGCTCTCCCTGTTTTTATAAACAAGATCAGGCCTCAGCTACATACAATGATTTGAGAGATCTTGGGCCACACTGTCCCATAAGTCTAGATGGTTTCTCTGGATCCAGCTGATGGTCATTTAGATGTCCCCCACTAGAGTTCAGAGTTCATGTACTTCCCATATTAATCTTACCACCCATGCCCAAGGACTTGTGTCTGCTTAGTTATACAGTCCTTTCCAATCGTGGAATCCCTTCAGTCTGTACAGTACAGTGGAGAGTAAACTCGACCCACTCTGGTTGCTAGTTTAAAAAGGGATATACTTCTCTTTAAATGGCATCTCAATTAGTAAAGAATATGTGTTAGTTTGAGCACTGCTGACATCCTGTCTTGATCCTCAGGTTAAGATTAAACAAGTAAAAATCATGGCACAATGTCTATGATATACATTTCATGAGCAGAGAGGAAAGCGCCTACTGACCACACTCTGCTCTTCCCACCTTGGATTTGAGAATACAGCACCACACACCCTCCACATTCACGATGACTAGAGTGAAAAAAAAATTCCCAGGAGCAGTTTCTGAAAATATTCACTCCAGTTATAACAAACCTAATCCCAAAGGAGCAAGCCTTTTCCTTTAAATAGCATTTTCTTTCTCTGAGCGCCAGAAATTTAATCATTTTTGTTCTATCTATTATTTAAACATTGATAGATTTTTCTTAGAAAAAATATTTCTTTTTAAAAAGCCTACTAAAATGGCCTTAATATAAAACCACATAAAAGTTGGCATTGGGTTCATTGTGTTCCTAAAAGCCAAAAAATTCAGTATCCTGAAAGTTCTTAAGACCATTTTTTTTTAAATCCTTGTTGCAAAATTGGCAGTGAAAAATTAAACATTTGTGACCTCCGCTGTTAATTGTATCAGGTAGTCCTGTCCCCTCTCCCCCGCCCCATCTAGAATTCGACAGGACTCTGAATATGAACCAGCCTGGTATTAAATCAGCCACTTAGGCAAAATTCACTTAATATCTCACAGACTACTACAAAAGCTAGTGGCTTTTCATCTTGTAGCTAGTTCCATCCTACTAAATTTTTTTCTTAATGTAGCTAGGAAATATAGTTGAAATTTTATAAGAGTTTACATTTTACAATATTTCTGTTTGGACTTTCCGACTGTGCTGCAAGACCAAAAATGATCCCAATATGTTCCTCTTAGTCAGAAGTCCTGAAGCCCACTTCATTGGCTTGATGTCAGCCAGTCATCCACCAAGGCAGAACCCTACATGGGTGAGGAGTCAGAAAGTGGGACATCAGAAACATAGAAGACTCATCCTCTATTCAAGTAGGGCTTTAGGCGTATTTGGAAATAAATACACACTTATCAGCATCCTGAGCAAGCGAATGGAGTTCCTGGTGGACTGCTTTTCCACTAGCTCCTTTTGAAAAAACAATGTACAAAAATGGTTAGTGCTCAGCTTAGTATCCCCCTTGTCTTCATTTTACTCCATTCAAACTTTGGATTTTTTTCCATCCTCTGGCCACTTGGTATATCACTTTCCTTGCCTGGTCACATCTTAACTTAGATATTGGAGGATTGGATCATGGAAAGTGGATTGAAAAAAAAATCAACATGGAATTCTGATAGTGGGTCAGTAGTGTCCTCTCCTTGTCCAAAGAATAGCACAAATCCTTCCATGGTACCTCAGGGACCTCTCCAGAAAGAAACTCAACAAAGAGAACTTCCCGTCCTCTCTTCCAGAAGGTGCAACAGCACACCGTGTCTTACAACACCCGTCCCTGATTAGGAAAGAAGTACAGCAAGTGTGCGTTCACATGTATGTGTATGTGTGTGCGTGTGTGTATATGTGTGCATGTATGTGTGCATGAGTGTGTGTGTGTATGTATGTGTGGGAAAGGGGGGAATCCTAAGTTTCATAACCCTAATTTAGAAACAGTTTTCGTCTTTAAAAAAAAAAAAATTACACATTCCTTATTCCCAGGCAAGCGATAGTCAGACAGATGATAAGATGAGAACTGGTGATGATGGAGAGCACTGCACCCAGACAGAGGAAGACGGCAGCCTGGCAGCAGCCTCACCGGAGAGAGGAGCCACCACACCCAGCAGCTCCTGACAAACCCCCACCCCCTAAAGATGTGTTCTGATGCCTCTAGTGCAGCTAATTTTTTTTGTTGTTCTCTTAAGATTTGTAGTTCATAGGTGTGTGTTTTAGAAGGGGAAGAAAAAAAAAGACTTCTGTTCAAAGCTAATTTATCCGCTACATCTTCTGTAACCTGGCTCATCCCTGGTTAAAAACAAACCAACACAGGCTGAGAACCATGCTGCTGTTACACACGATGGCAGTATTAACAAGCATTTTAAACCTTTGCACATGATATTGAACCTGTTCAGTTTACAATGACAATATTAATACTGTTTATAGCTAGAAGTTTGATTTCTGGATTCTTTGAGATTTTAGCAAAACAGTATATTATACACTGGACCTTTGTTTTTCCATAGCAATTGGGAAAAAACAACCACTTGCAATTATTCATAAATCCTGAAGGGTCCCGTTCCTGAGAGTACAAGCTCAGAACGTGGAAGCCAAGACAGATTCTTGGCCTGCAGTTGACCCCAAAAGACTTTGTGAGCAGTGATTTGAACCCATCATTAGAAATAATCCACTCTTGGGGGCTTCTTTCCAACTTTGGGTTGTTTTCTTTCAAGATACTCTAACAAGTCAGCCATAGAATTTAGTGTAAATATTTTTTCCAAATAATCATATTCAAAAAAAAAAAAGACAACATTCAAATTATATAGAATCTAGTTTTTAAAATCAGCACAGATCTTCTTAAAAACTGTGAACTATGTTTTGAAATACTCGTTACTAAAGCTGTTTATAAACCACAGGTGCCATAAGATCCCCAAACGGACTAAAGTTATCTATGCTCTTCCATGGTCTTGTTCCTCTCGGTTTAGCTTTAGGAAGCATGTCTTTAACAGCACCGCTCATTCACAAGCTCCCCTACCAGGTCACGGAGGCCTTCAGCTTTAAATGTACAGGCTTAAAAGTGCGCTTGCGAAACGTTCGCTCTCCTTTTATTTCTGAATGTCGATTGCCTTAGCTGGCCACCTGGTGTTCTGCATGCAGCGTTCTGTGGTCACGTGAAAGGAGACAGGCTCTTCTATATTAAGCTGGGATTTTTGCACTCAGTGAAAAAAATAACTAATGTGCAAAAGAACTGCAAAGACAAGAGGATAAAAGTCTATTGATGGTCCTTAGGAGGGCCCTCTTCAGAAAGAACTAAAGACCATCCCCTCCCCTCACTTTGGGATTCTGGGGAAAATGGAAAAGCAATCTTCTGTTTGTTTCAAGATTTGATGGGGGATAAAAGCCTGCAGCATATTGGATATATCATACTTAAATGAGCAGCTTCTCTGGAATTCCTGTAGTACCAGTGGTTCTCAAAGGATGTTCCCCAGATCAGCAGCATCAGCATCACCTGGGAATGTCTTAGCAACGCAAATTCTTAGGCCCCAGCCCATGCCTACCGAATCAGAAATTATGGGGATGGGGCCTAGCAATCTGTGTTTTAATCAGCCCTCCAGGCAATTCTGATGCATGCTAAAGGTTGAAAACTACTGCTTTAGAATTCAGTTGTATAGTAAAGTCTCCAGAAAGGTCTTATAAGTAGGAAAGGCTCTGAGTCAACCTCAAAGCTTCAGCGATTCCATTTCTGCTTCCAAGGTTTGCAAAACCTCCCACCCCACGTACCTGGTCTGTAGTTGGTAGGTGTCAGCTGAGAATACTCATTCCAATATTTTTAAGCTCCGCTAGCAGAGGGCCATCCGATGTTTATGCCTCTGCATTTGGTCAGAAACCATCTCCTTGGCTGCCCTTCACAACAAAATCGCTTGCCTTGGGGATAGTAAAGTGATTAACTGGCATCAGTGAGGACCCCACCCTGTCCCTGGATGTACTTAATCATACTTCCCTCCAGAGAACCCGCCTAAACAAATGTCCCTGAGCACAGGCTAACACCAAAGTGGCACGACTGCACAGTTCTCCGATTTCTTTGCACAGATGAATTTTATTGCGGGTTTTGTCGGTGTGTTGATGTTCATCTCTCTTCCCCTGCCCATCCTCTGTGAAACCATACCTCTCTAGATGGAGCAGGTGGCCATTGGTGCCTCATACTCAGTACTGAAAACCACTACATCCCAGCTACCTACATTGCTGTCAGTTCGCAACCAGAGCCGGGTAGTTCTTGAACTCAGAACTCAGACCCTGCAGGTGGCACTTCTGCCACTGGCTGGACTGAGCTGACATATGTTGTCTCTTTGTGTTTCGACATCAAAACGTCTGTCTGAGGTTTGAACGGTTCTGCTAAAAACCTTCCCCCTTGTCATAGCTCTCATCGCCTACCAACTCCGTAACCCATCGTTCAAAGCCATTGCGAGGACTCTGGAAACTGCCGCCCATGACCAATTTTGGACTAACCAGCCACCTTTTCTTTCTCTTAGCTCCACGTCAGCACTGAGACCAGACTCAAGCACCCCTGTCCTGTAACCGAGACAAAATGGCGTGTGTTGTTTTGGGTTTTTGTGGTTTTGGGTGGGTTTCTTTCTGTGGCTCTCCAAATTTATTTTTGGGGTCTGTTCTAAGTGCAAACCCAGCAGGTTTCATCTGTCCTGTCCATTAGATAACAACTATATCATGTGGGGGT